GAGGCTGCGGTGGCCGGGAGCGGCCACTGCACTTCAGTCTGGGCGACAGAGTGAAACTCTAACTCAAAAAAAAAGAAAAGAAAAGGAGGTTGAATCATGACTTTTTACTTTGAAAAGTTAAAAATTTCATGACATGGACCTATGTTTAAGGATTTTTGCTGTTTCTTTATATCTATATTAAAAAACAAAAAAGTCATGTTTTGAAAATACCTAAGGTATGTTTAGTAAGATGGAGGTAGGGTATGAGAGAATTGAGCAGATCATCAAAGAGATATACTAGTGATTAGAATTTCATTTGTGACTTATATTTTGAATGTCTAGAAATTAATTTTTGTTTATTTGTTTTTGCCCTACAGTGAATGATTTAGGAGGGGAAATTAATTTTTGTTTATTTGTTTTTGCCCTACAGTGAATGATTTAGGAGGGGAAATTAATTTTTGTTTATTTGTTTTTGCCCTACAGTGAATGATTTAGGAGGGGACTTCAAGGGAGTTGGTAAAAGCTCCTTAGCTGCTGATAAGGTTGTTGAAGAAATAAGAAGGAAAGGTGGAAAAGCGGTGGCCAGCTATGGTATGACATTTGAAAAAACTATACTACTTCCTTTATTTTCCTTCAGTGAATACTATAGGTCACATTAATAATCTTTGAGCAAATATCTCAACATTCCAGTATAATATGAAATTAGATTTTATCTAAGTCTGCCAAAGCTCTTAGACTACATATTTTATATAATATGTGAGAAGTTTTTAAAATTTTGATGTAGGTTATTTCATATGATTCTAATTTTTCTGTTGTTTACTTAATATTTTTATTAATAAGTACATGATATAATTAGTAAGTTATTGTATATAGGGATGTGGATACGTTCTTGTGAGACGTGGTTTAGTTAAAAGGTCTTATGTATTTCTACAGAATGATACTAAATTTTTCTTTAATAAATTTTAAAAAGATTCTTAAAGTAATATAGTATAAGAAGTGAAATACCCCTTCACTCAACCTTTATATTCCATTCTGCACAAGTAGTCACTGCAACTTTCTTATCTTTGTGAAAACTTAAGGGTTAAAGTTAGACATTAAATGAAACCATGAGAAAAAACAGAAAATACAAACTTTACATTTGATATGTTGATCCTAAAAGTATTTGTAAGGATACTTGTAGAATAAATTTACTTTAACAAGCTAGTGCTTACTCTGCTTTTCTGTAGACTAGATTGTTTTTATGGGCCAGGGATGAAATTAAATTGATTTCATTTTTGAATTTTAGCAGAAAAGAAATAGGATATGGTTTATTTTGAGTGTTTGAGGAAATGAGACAAACATTTTAAGATGTTCATTCTATCTACACTGGAGATCTAACAAAAATATTTTCAATTTTTTAAAATTTGGGGTTTTAAAAAACTACTTTTTTTTCCTTTCCTAATTTTTATTTTAAAATTGTGGGGTACAACTCAGGGTGAGGCATACAAATATTCATTGTGCAGGTACCCTTGTTGATGAGGTGTGAAAAAACTACTTCTTAAGATAAAAATTCCATAGTCCTCCCTCCCTTAGTTTTTTTATGCAGCCTGTATCAATCAGAGTTTGGTAAGGAAAACAGAAACTCCTCTAGGTTTTCCAAGTGTGAAGGGTTTTAATATAGGGAAATATAAGCTCATAAACCATTGGAGGGACTGGACAAGTAAAGGTCAGGGAACTACTAATGACCATCTCAGCCTACATTAAGTGGTTCTCAAAAGATCACCTAGGTGTGCTTTAACGTCTGTAGTCTGTTACCAAGATTGCTTGCGTCTGCAGCTTTTCTCCTACTTTTCTAACCTGTAGGTGAGTACCTCTGACTAGGTGGCAGTTCTAACCCAGGACTCTGTTGGTCCACGGGAAGCTACTGACCGACTGTATTTCCTGGCTCCTTCCCTGTGATGGAAGAGAATATAGAAGAGGCAGTGGTGATGTGTTTACAGTAGACCATTGACACACAACTGTGTAGGGATGTGAGCCCTTTCTCTGGGCTGGTTAGTGGACTATAACAGAACCACAAGATTTTATTGAGCTTTTCTTTTTTGTAGTTAGTGTTGCAAAGACAGCAGGTTTGTTTTTCATTTGCAGTATTGAACATTTTTTTCAAATTAAATGTGCACCTCCCTCTCTCCTGAATTCTCATTTGTGTCTTTAAATCTATGTAGCTATTTAAAATTAAATATAAAATAGTCAATTTGTCTGCCATACTAGCCACATTTTGAGTACTCAGTAGCTACGTGTGGCTAGTAGCTATCATATTGGACAGTGTAGAAATAGGGTATTTTCATCTTCACAGAAAGTTGTACTGTACAGTGCTATTTTAGATAGTATTTGCCACATAGTTGTTATTCACCTCCCTTCTCCTTCCTTTTAATTGTAGGTTAAAGAATTGTCTAAGGGCTAAATTTCTTTTGTAATATTAACTCATCCATATTTTGATTTGTTATGCATCTGTAATATAAATGTATTTTTCTTGAAAATGAGTTCTCTTGGGTGAATAGTAACAAATCCACAGAATTTAGAAGTAATTTGTGAGAGAGATTACTGAAATTCTGTACTAATGTTTCTTTCCCTCAGATTCTGTGGAAGAGGGAGAGAAGGTTGTGAAGACAGCACTGGATGCTTTTGGAAAAATAGGTGAGGTTTCTTTGTGCTATGGTCCTTACAGAGCAGTCTCTACTTTCTTTTTCTTTTTTTTGAGTTGGAGTCTCACTCTGTCGCCCAGACTGGAGTGCAGTGGCCGCTCCCGGCCACCGCAGCCTCAACCTGCTGGGCTCCGGCGATCCTTCCGCCTCAGCCTTCCAAGTAGCCGGAATCACAGGCATGCGCTACCACGCCCGGCTGATTTTTTTGATTTATTGCAGAGATGAGGTCTCGCTGCCCAGGCGGGTCTCGAGCCTGTGGGCTCAGGCAATCTACTCACCTCAGCTTCCCAAAGGCACGGGGTTACAGGCTGAACCACCGAGCCTGGCTCTACTTTCTTAATAAAATGTTTTTAAGTTTACATTTTTTTATTAAATAAATATCTCTTTTTATAATCATATTTTTAGATTTGTTTTATAAGTTAATTACTTTTCTTACCTCTACCTTATTTCATAAAGGTCTTTAGGTGACAATTTTATGGATATATATGTTGAGTTAAAAAAAAATTTATTTTGCATCTTAAGTGCTTTAAACAACTTGTAAGCATTTGTTCAGTGTCTTTTTTATAATAATTCAACTAAGCCTCAAATATATTTATAAGATAACAAATAAGTCAGTATTTTGGCAATAGCTGACCCAGTGGATTCTTTTAGGTAATTATAATGATTTGGATTAAAATGGTCTAATAACTTGCAAATTACTTAAGATAAGTTGTATACAATAAAAATCTTCATTTTAAAGAAGCATTTAAAATATTATTTAGTCTATATTTCTCTAGTAATCTTCCCAGTTTAGTCCCACATACACTTAATAAAAGATTATTGAATTACTTGAGGGAGACGTCACAGCAGATAAGCCCAACATGTTTAAAATCTGAAAAAAACCCAGGTATAGAGACCACAAAGGTGTGAAGTCAGGGTAAAAATAGCCACTGGTTAGTGACTGAACCTTAAAAAATAGTTATTTTCTTTGCATAGTAGGAATATAATTGTATGAAAAAGTAGAGCATCAGTTTTTAACTTTAGTGTCTTTCTTGGGGACTTTTTACTTGTGAGTGGCAAGGAAAAAATCTTTTATCCTCCCAAGTGAATTTTGAGGTTAAGTGGAGAGACTGGCTTATGGTTATAAATCCTCAGAACCTGGCTTATGGTTATAAATCCTTAGAACCTAAGAGTTGTGCAAGCTGATTCTGTAAATAAGCTGATAATTTTGGAAGAAAGTAGAGATGGGAAACTTTATATATATGTTTGAGAGGAAGGTACTTGATATAATGTGATACTTGTGTTTTTGCGAGTCAGTTTTTTTTTTTTGCTATAGGTATAAATTTTGTTTTGATAACAGTCTTTACTATTATTTGCTCTTCCATGGTGAAAAAAGTCAGTTTTGAAAGTGTGTTTATTATAAGCCAGTACAATTATTTTTATGTTTGTGACTTGGATTCTTTTTATATTATAGATGTTGTGGTCAACAATGCTGGGTGAGTATTTCTTTTTTCATTTTTAGTAATGTGCATGTAGTTTTTTAAAAGGATATACTCCCTATTGTCTTACCCTGTATAATATCAATTTTTTAGAATTCTGAGGGACCGTTCCTTTGCTAGAATAAGTGATGAAGATTGGGGTAAGTTGTTTTTAATATATGCCTCTGTGGAATATACCTAACCATTTAGCCTTTAATATTTGATGTATTTATATATTTAAGGAAAAACTTTTTTCTGCCTACTTTATATTAGATACTATTCTATGATTAATAATCTCTATACTAAAAATGATGTAGTAGAAGTACAAGTAGAAGTTGTCTATTTTTTAAACATTTAATAAATTAAAAATGTTAAATTATTTGGCAGAAGTTATCTAAAAGGATTTTATTTCTTCAAATTCCCCTCCTCCTTTTCTCTTGAATAGTTTGTTAGTATTTTCTAGCAGTATTAACTCTAACAGTTTTAACATGCTTATCAAGCTGTATGATTGTTTTTCCAAGAGCAGGAACAGGATATGGAGGGGAGGCTAGGACACGAAAAATGATGGAGATCTGAGAACAGGGTAGGAGAAAACCTGGATGTAATTTTGAAGCTTCTAATAAATAGGAACGATTTCCTTTTTTTTTTTTTTTTTCCGTGTCAGAAAGATGGAGTTTAGATAATGAACAGATCACAGTTATGAATACTTTTTTTCTTCTTTATTCTTAATGTCATTGCCATTAGAATTAAAACAAACAAACGGTGGTGGCTGAGACAGTGACAGGCATAGCAACTGATGTGAAACAATTGTATCCTTGTTTTAGAGTGTTGCCAGAAGTACTTTTTTTTTCTTTTTCTTTTTGAGTCGAGGTCTCACGCTGTCGCCCAGGCTGGAGGGCAGGGGCATGATCACAGGTTCATGGTCTTGCCTAGGCTGATCTTGAAATCCCGGGCTCAAACGATCTTCCCGGGCTCAAACTCTCAAAGTGCTGGAATTACAGGTGTCAGCCCCCATGCCGGCCAGAAGTTCTTTAGGAAGAAACAGAATATCTTTGTGATTTAGAATTAAACTAGGCTGGGTGAGTCTAGGCAATGTAGCAAGATCCCTTCTCTACAAAAAATTAATCAGGTGTGGTGGCATGCACCTGTAGTTCCAGCTACTCTGGAGGCTGAGGATTGCCTGAGTCCAGGAGGTTGAGGCTGCAGTGAGCCGTCACCATGCCGTTGCATTCTACGCAGGCGATAGAGTGAGATCCCGACTCAAAAAAAAAAAAGGAAAAGAAAATGAATTAAGCTACAAAGAGATTTTAGTTTCCTTTTCCCTTGTAACAACTGGAATAAAAACAGAAGCTGAGAAAGATCAGATTTGCTGGAAAAGGGGGCTTGGGTTGGTGCTGTTGGTACTTTTCTAGGCACTGTCGTGGGACAGTGAGGTGTTTCTTTCTCTGATTCCATCCTACTAAGCGCACCACTCCTGACTACTCTTTTCTCTTTTTTAAAGTTCACTTCCTCTGAACTGCCTCACTCTTACCTTTTTCTAATATACATGTAAAAACATTTATGTCAACAGAAATAAGTATGAATGTTTAAAAAACTTGACACTTAAAATTCTAAAGTCTATTTGAATGTTTCCCAAGTAGTCTATTCATTAGATTAGAATATCTGAAAGCAGGCTTCTCTCTCTCTCACTCATTTGCAAACCTTTGTGACAATAGGGATATAGTGAGCATTTGCAAATTTTCTTGATGAGGAACTTTGTGATTTTATGATTATACTTTAGCTGATGTTAGTGTCGAGTACTGAGGACGTATGTAAAAATCCTAGGTATTTATTTTAGAAAATTTTTATACAAGATAGGCATAGATTAAAGAAGGCATTGTACTTAGATATGTATAAGAATTGCGATAGTTTTATAAATTATGGGGAAAACTTGTAAGTCTGGGTATGCACATAGTAGCTTAATTAGAACAAAAGCAAAATACTCAGAGATGGTGTGACAATAGGTTATTTTGAGTATTAGGTATAAAATGAACATCTTTGTATAAGTACACCATTGATTTTGTTAATTCTGGGACGTGCCTATCTCTTTTTTTTTTTGAATTGGAGTCTCACTCGGTTGCCCAGACTAGAGTGCAGTGGCCTCCTGGCCACTGCAGCCTCGCCTGCTGGACTCCAGCGATCCTTCCGCCTCAGCCTTCCGAGTAGCTGAATTACAGGCATGCGCTACCACACCCAACTGATTTTTTTTTGATTTGTTGTGAGATGAGGTCTTGCTGCCCAGGCGGGTCTTGAACTCGCGGGCTCAGGCAATCCACTCACCTCAGCCTCCCAAAGGCGTGGGATTACAGACTGAGCCACCGAGCCTGGCCCTATCTCATTTTTGACAAAATAAAAATAAATTTCTTGTTTCAGATATAATCCACCGAGTTCATTTGCGAGGCTCATTCCAAGTGACCCGGGCAGCATGGGAACACATGAAGAAGCAGAAATATGGAAGGTATATTCTATATTGCCATGAGGCTGTCAAAGGATTTGAAGATGTGTGGTGTGGGTTCTTCTGTACAGGAAAAGATTGGTTATATAGTGTTATGGAATAATTGTTTGATGGTGAGTTAAGTGTTTTCAGATATGTACAGGTTTTTAACATGTAGTTTGGTATAAACTTTTGCATTAAATTGATGTTATTTAGTCAAAGATTAGCTTTGCTGGACAGCTATATATATATATATAATATATATATAATATATATATAACTTTTACTTCCTTTTATTAGGTTTTCTTATTGTTCTTTAGGATTTTAGAAAGTTGTGTGAAAATTGAGGATTCAGCTGTATATTATTCTGTAACCCAAATATTATTTTGTGTGACCGGTGACAAAGTGAGGAAAGATGAGTGGCTATTTGCTGTTAACTGGTACTGGTTGGATGTTAGTCTTATACACTGTTTCAGAGCTGTGAGGCTTGTCATGATTGCTTCTAGATGTGTAGTTTAGAATGTGGCAATGCTAGTACCTTTGATCCATGCTGTCTATTGTACTCTAGTGTCAAGGTCATTCCTGTTGACTTATAATTCATATACACCTAAAAGAAGCAAATTGTTTGTGATGCCTATTTTTATGAGAGATTTATAGTTTATCCTGATCCTAGTAGTTTCTGAAAATATGTGATTTATCTTACTTGGTATAAGTAGAGTAAGTGAGGTTGGGTCAGATTATGGGATGGCATTGTTTTAAGGTGGCATTTAATATTACCCAGAAAAGACGAGAGGCATAGTAATGAGCGCTGAAGAATTAGAACTGCTTGATCTAATATTTCTTACTAAAATTTAAACTTATGCATTGCCAGTTTATTTTATGCTTGTAAATATTTATTGTTTTTGATAGATACTAATTATACATTCTTACACTTAAATTCATTTGGTTTGGACCAGGGATTCTTTTTAAAACAGTTAAATCTTGTAGTTGAATTTTGAGAGATTACTTATGTATTAATCTTATGTTAGATATATAAAACATGAGTATGATAAGCTAATGACAGTACACAGATTTGCTTTTGACAGGTGCAGTAATGCCAAAATAGAGTTAGAGTTGCAATCTTATCAAAACATAGAAAAAATGATGTTCAAAGATTGATTTTTCTTTTAGGATAATTATGACTGCATCAGCTTCAGGAATATATGGCAATTTTGGCCAGGCAAATTATAGTGCTGCGAAACTGGGTCTTGTGGGCCTTGCAAATTCTCTTGCAATTGAAGGCAAGAAAAGCAACATTTATTGTAACACTGTTGCCCCTAGTGCTGGATCAAGGATGACTCAGACTGTTATACCTCAAGGTAAGTAAGCAAGCTTTTATTTTTCAGTGCTGTTATCCAGCACTGAAATTTGGAAGTGAAATTTGAAAAAGTGCTTAGTTTCCTGAAACAGTTATTTTCTTTCCAGTTTCAAATCATGTGTAAATTGTGGGAAATTTAAGAAAGTGCAAAGGAAAAAATAAAAAATGACCCTTAATTCTACTACACTGAGGCAAACTTTCATAGACTTTTATTCTTTTTCTCTGGATAGGTAGACGTACATATTTTTTTTTTTTTTTACAAAATGGGATATAGTATTCTTACTGTTTTATAATAAATATTAAAAATAGAGATGATTTTTTAGAGCAGTTTTAAGTTTACAAAATAATTGGGCAGATACTCTGGAGAGTTCTCGTATACTCCACCTTCCACACAGTTTCCCCTGTTATTAACATCTTGCATCAGAGTGGTATGTATATTTGTTACAATTGATGAACCAGTATAAATTTATTATTATTAACTGTAGCTCATAGTTTACACTTGTGTTCACTCTTTGTGTTGTACAATTTATGGGCTTTCACAAATGCATAATGTTATATATCCACTGTTACAATTTCACACAGAAGAGTTTCCCTGCCCTAAAAATCCCTTGTGCTTCACCTATTCATCCTTCCTGTCTTCCTCCTGAATGCCTAGGGAATAGATCTCATTTCTTTCTTTCTTTTTTTTGAGTTGGAGTCTTACTCTGTCGCCCAGGCTAGAGTACAGTGTCAACCTGCTGGGCTTCAGCGATCCTCCTGCCTCAGCCTTCCAAGTAGCTGGAATTATAGGCATGTGCTACCACATCCGGCTAATTTTATATTTATTGTAGAGACAATGTCTCGTCAAGTTGCCTGGGTTGGTCTCGAATCCATGGTCTCAGGCAATCCACTCGCCTCGGCCTCCCAAAGTACTGGGATTACAGGCTGAGCCACCGAGCCCGGCCTCATTTCTTTTTATTGTTCAATAATATTTCATGGTATGAATGTACTACAATTTGTTTATTATTCACATATTGAGGGACATCTTGGTTGCTTCTAGTTTTGCCACTTATGAATAAAGCTGCTATACACATTTTTGTTTCGGTTTTTGTGTGTATGTAAGTTTTCTGCTCGTGTGGATAAGTACCATGAAGTGTGATTGCTGGATGGTATAGTAAGACTAGGCTTAGCTTTGTGAGAAATTCCCAAAGTATCTTCCAAAGTGGTCTTATCATTTTGTATTTCCACTAGCAATGGATGAGAGTTCTTGTTGCTCCACATCCTCATCAGCATTTGTTTTTGTCAGTATTTTAGATCTTAGTCTTTCTAATAGGTATGTAGTGGTGTCTCACTGTTTTAATGTGCAATTATTTAATGACATATGGTGTTGAACATTTTTTCCTATTCTTTGCCATCCATTTATCTTTTTGATTAGGTGTCTAGTCAAATTTTTTGCACATTTTTGCTTAAAAAATTTTTTTCTTTTTGAGTAGTCACTCAGTCTGGAGTACAGTGGCATGCTCATGGGCACTGCAACCTCAGCCTGCTGGGCTTAGGCAATCCTTCTGCCTCAGCCTTCCAAGTAGCTGGAACCACAGGCGTGCGCCTCCATACTCAGCTAATTCTTTGACTTATTCAAAAAACTCTCCAAGTTGCCCAGGCTGGTCTTGAACCCCTGAGCTCAGATAGTCCTCTTACCCCTGTCTCCCAAAGTGCTGGGATTATAGGCTTGAACTTTTGTGCTGGCCTGCCCATTTTTAAATTGTTTTTTTTTTATTTTTTATTTTTTTTATTTTAAGTGTTCTTTGTGTATTTTGGAAACAAGTCCTTTATCAGATATGTGTTTTGCAAACATTTTTTCCCCCAGTCTGTAGCTTGTCTTTCTGTTCTCTTAAACTCCTTTACTTTTGAAAGATAATTTCACTGGATACAGAATTCTAGGTTGGTGGCTTTTTTCTTTCAACACTTTAAATATAGGCATACCTTGGACATATTGTGGGTTCAGTTCTAGACCACTGCAATAAAGTGTATGTATTAATATTGCAATACACACAAATTTTTTGGCTTCCCAGTGCATATAAAAGTTACATTTACACTATATTGTAGCCTATGAAATATATAACAGCATTATGACTAAAAAAATACATAGCTTAATTAAAAAATACTTTATTGTTAAAAAATACTGATACAGATAAGTTGAATGAGCATATGCTTTTGGAAAAAATGGTGCTGACAGACTTATTTGACATAGTGTTGTCACAGTCCTTCAATTTGTAAAAAATGCAACTTCTTCAAAGCACAATAAAGCTAAGTGCAATAAAACAAGATATGCCTGTATTTCACATCAATTTTCTGGCTTCAGTTATCCTTGTTCCTCTATAGGTAAGATTTTTTTTTCCCTTCTGGCTTGTTCCAAGATTTCTCCTTGTCTTCAGTTTTCTGCAGTTTACATATGATATGCTTAGGTAGAGATGGTTGGTATTTATGCTGCCTAGAGTGCTGTGAGCTTCCTGGATTTGTGATTTGGTGTCTGTCATTAATTTTGTAAAATTCTCAGCCAGCATTCCTTCAAACATTTCTTCTGTTTCTTTTTCTTTTTGATTAGGTGTCTAGTCAAATCTTTTGCACATTTTTACTTAAAAAAATTTTTTTTTTGAGTAGTCATTCAGGCTGGAGTACAGTGGCATGCTCTTGTGGGAGTCTTATTCCACATGTTATGTCTTGTAATTACTCCAAAATTGTTAGATATGCCATTCCATTTCTCATTCTTTTTTTTCTCTTTGTGTTTCAGTTTGGGAAGTTTCTATTGATATCTTCAAGCTCACTGATTCCTTCTACATTTCTTTTACAGTGTCTTTGATTTCTTGCATTTTCTTTTGATTCTTTGAGTTTCTTCTCTCCTTACAGTACCAATTTGTTCTTGTGTATTGTCACTCTTTTCTTTAGTTATCGTAGTTATTTTAAATTCCCAATATGGTAATTCCCAAATCTCTGCCATGTTTGAATCTGGCTCTTCTGTTTGCCTTGTCTCTTCAGCCTATGCTTTTTCTTGCCTTTTAACATGCCTTGCGATTTTTTGTTGGAAGTCAAGAATATGTTAGGTAATAGCAAGTGAGGTAGATAAGTCTTTAGTATGAGGTTTTATGTTTATGTTGTTAGAAGTTAAGATGTGTTTATTATTTGCTGTAGCTCTAGATATCAGAGGCTTCAGTTTCTTCTCTGTTTTTGTCTTTGCATACTCTGCTGTCTTTTAGTTTCCCTAGAAACTCTTTATTTAATTGAGTTTATATCCTTGAGCTCTCTCAGTTGTAATGAACTGTTATTTACTAGAACCCTGTTGATGTACTGGGTAGTGATAAGGAATTAGAGAGGGAAAGTGTCTATACTCTTATGATCAAAATCCCCATTTTTTAAAAGTGGGTCAGAGTCCTGGATTGGGACTTCAGAAGAGTTTTTAAGCCTTTTTTCCTCTTTCTTTATTGGAGTTGAGATGGCTAGAGGGACTCCAGTTATCAAATTGCTCTTCCCCTAGGTCAGACAAGGCTTTGGTAAAATAGTTCTCTTGAGGGTGGGCATTTAAGTAGAATAGAATCCTCTGAGCATATTTCAAAGTGTTAGAGGACTTTTTTCCTGAGGAGATGTGGTGAGGAATTCTGGAGGTAAAACTTACAAATGTGTTGGAGGCCCACATAATATTGGGCCCTCCTAAGATCAAGCTAGTCTATACTCAGCCACTAGCAATTTGTCAATTGCTTTTTTTTTTTTTTTTTTTGAGTTGGAGTCTCACTCTGTCACCCAGACTGGAGTGCTATGGCCATTCCCGGCCACCGCAGCCTTGACCTGCTGGGCTCCGGTGATCCTTCCGCCTCAGCCTTCCAAGTAGCCAGAATTACAGGCATGTGCTACCATGCCCGGCTGATTTTTTGATTTATTGTAAAGATGAGGTCTTGCTGCCCAGGCAAGTCTCGAACCTATGGGCTCAGGCAATCCACTCACCTCAGCCTCCCAAAGGCGTGGGATTACAGGCTGAGCCACCGAGCCCGGGTTGTCAATTACTCTTTAAGTGTTCTTACTGGCCTAGGCTCTAGGGTCTTCTGCTCTCAGTAAGATGTGATTCTCTGAATTTGCCTGTTTCTCCAGTTTTCTAGATGGTAGTTTGCCTTGTGACCTCAATTCTCTGGTGGAGCTTAGAGTTGCTGATTTTTAGTTTGTTCAGCTTTTTTCTTGGTTTGAGGAATGCCTTCAAAATTCTTATAACTTTGAATATCTTTACATGTTGGAGTGGAAAGTGTAAGTCTAATTATTATTTTTCACTTACTATATCAAGAATAATAATAAAATAGTGCAGAATTTTATTGCGTGCTTGCATTATATTTATCTTATTTATGTTCTATAATTTTTTTTTAATTTGGGGTCTCTGTCACCCAGACTGGAGTGCATTGGCATGATCACAGCTCACTTTAGCCTTGTGCTCCTGAGTAACTGAGAATACAGGCATATGCCACCATACCCAGCTAATTTTTTTGATTTTTTGTAGAGATAAGGTCTTGCTATGTTACCCAGGCTGGTCTTGAACTCCTGGGCTCAAGGAATCCTCCTTCCTTGACCTCTTAAAATGCTGGAATTATAGGCATGAGCCACTATGCTTGGCCTTCATGTTCCATAATTTTAAAAAATGATTTTTATAATTATACTTTCTTTGTTTAAAAAAATGCTTTTTTGGATGTAACTTTCCAACATAAGATTAGGGAAAAAGAGAGTTAAAAACTGTATGTATCTATCATTCAGCTTCAGCAGATGATCAACATTTAGCCAGTTTTGCTTCTTTTTTTGTTATCTTCTCCTTTTTATGCAATATTTCAAAGAAAATCTTAGACATTATATTTTGTTTAATGAACAATAGGAAATGGGTATCTAATAGATATAGACGTTAAAACTTCAATGCCATTATCTTACCAAACAAAAAAACTTGCTGATATCACCTAATATCAAATTCATATTAAAATTTTCTAGTTGTCTAAA